AATATTTTAATCTATTCGCAATTTTTGCTATGGTTGTATCTAACTAATACATAACCATTGTTCTACAATTTCCCGCCGCAGTATTCGGATACAGACCCAGAGTTCTTGGAGTACGAACTCAACTCCCGTTTTGACGGCAAGAAAATGCCGAGACCGAGCACCAAACTGGCGAAGTAAGTAACACAGCAGATTGTAGACAGTATCTAATCTATAATTATTATAGTATGTCATCTAACTTATATGTATTCACCTATAGATACGACCAGTTATTTGACTTGCGTTTATTCCTATTCATATATCTAACATTTACATTATCTCCCGGTTCCTAGTGAATTCTTTCATCAGTGACAACTTTGGAAGGATAAGGATACTAACTTCCAAATTTTCGATGCCTATCAGTCCATCTTGTTCACGGAGTGGCCTAATCTCGCGAGAGTGCGAGACTAGGCCCGAGACTTGCATCGGTCTGTCGGGTCCCACCCCCCGCCGCCTCCCTCCGAAGTAGGGGCCAGTAAGTCTTGGGGAGCTCCCAACCTTCTGTCCGGTTCAGCTTGGCACCTTCCAACTGTATGTGCACCGTCTTCCTTAATCTTCCTATGTGGGTTATGAGACCGATGCCAGTCTCGGGCCTAGTCTCGCACTCTCGCGAGATTAGGCCACTCCGTGAACAAGATGGACTGATAGCCATCGAAAATTTGGAGGTTAGTATCCTTATCCTTCCAAAGTTGTCACTGATGAAAGAATTCACTAGGAACTGTATCTATACGTGACAAATGAATCTCTTCAACGTTACATTATGTCGTATTCACCTAATGTCTAACATCAGTTTCTATCTCTGTCTTTCTATTTATTTATTCATTTATTTATCTACGTTATACATATATATCTACCTATCTATGTGTCCAATTTTTTTCTATGTATTTATCTTTGAATAGAACATTTGATATAAGGTTGCATTAAAGCTGCACAGTATGTAAAAGGAAAGCGTACTAGTTAATTCTATACGCTAAACATATAATGCATTTTTTTTCATATTTCAACATTTCATGACTAGACATGGTGACAGCAGACTCGATTATATCAACTTATTTTATGCCGCCACCAATGCAGAGGACGAATAGAGGACAAGACAACACTCGTTAAGTGAGGAAAGTCGTGTAAAGTGCCTTTCCAAAGGGCACAAGATCGGTGGCATTTCAGAACGCGAACCCAGGGCCTCTTAGTTACGAGTCGAGCTCGCTGCCGTTACGCCACACGACCTCACGACCCATTTTTGTTCATTAGGACTGCATTTACATCTGTTTAACGTGAGTTCTAGGAATTTTTTAGTTATTTGCTCCAGCTGAAATTTTCTCCTTTCTGCCCGGTGCATTAGGAAGTACACGGACTCTGAGCGGAAGAAGGAAGAGTCTGCGCGGGTGAAACGCGAGGTTCTCACGGCAGCGGACAAGTTCCTCACGGCGCTGAGGGAGAGCAACCTGGACAAGAACGACACCATCGACAAGAAGGAGCTGGAACGAGCTTTTAGAAAGGTAACATTCTCTCATACCAAGCCCGCCTCTTGTATGTATCTAGAAACAGTCCTGGCGTACCGGCCCGTCTGTTTCGCTAGCGCTGCGTTTAATAGCGCTGGTCAGCTGCCAGCCAATCAGAGATTACTTTTTTGAGGGAATTTAGTCACCAGCCAATCACGTTTCCTCTTGAGCGTAGGAATCGACGTGATTTGTTGGAGTTGGCAGGTAGATGGTCAGCGTTTATTTTGAGAGAAAGACGGAACACATGTCTGTGCGCCATGGTCATTGATTGCTAGATATACAGGCAGTGGTCAGTCATGAGTTTATCTTTTTTTTTCAGCAACAAAAATAGCATCAAGTTTTCGACTGTCCTCCTGCAGTCTTCCTCAGAAATCCTGTAACCAATCCCTTAGATTATAAGACCTTCGGACGTCAGTAATTGGACAAAAGTGACAGGAAGTCTATAGCGCCCGCCGTCATTGTGACGTGTGTTCTCGGGGCTCAGCTAATCTTTATTGGACTTCCATATTATTTACATTCCGATTTGTTTTGCTGCACAGAGGCACCTATTTACCCCAGAAGATGCCCGTATCCTGTTCGGAGACGGCGTCAACATTGATGACGTGTTCTACATGCTGGACGTGGACGGCGACGGACAGGTAGGGTCACCTGTCAATCACCTGTAACACACCGGTACTCATACCGATCTAGCCTGGTTATGACAAAAAGGGATAAACGTTCTTGCCAACAGTACACAACACTGAGTAAATTGTGACTAGATTTTCGGCTGACCACGGAATGGACCCTTCTACTGCAGCTTCCGGGACGTGACGTCGGAAACACGTGATTGCAGCAAAGGGTCATACGTGTCAGATAACCTGTGTCGCCCCCCGTCTCTGTTCAGTGTTGGAGATAATGAAGTAAACCAACACAGATGAACTTTCATGCTAAAATTTGAACTTAATACTTACAGTATTGCTCCTTGTTCCTAGATCACGTACAGAGAGTTGGTGAACTACCTGGAGACGAAGGGTGTCCATCTGTTCTCTAAGTACCTGGGGTACCAGCGGCGTAACATCGAGAACGTCGGTGACTTCCTCTTCCAGCTCCAGGCCGCTCAGATGATGATCTCAAAACGTCTTTACGTTGAGGTACGGTTTAAACATTCTGGTTTTATTTTTTACTAGGCCACAGCAAGTAAATTTAATGGATGACATCCCCCGCAGACTCTAAATGTATTGCGATAGGGCGAAAAAAAAACAAGGCTGGCCAAAAAAAGAAGATTCCTACACTTTCAAATTTTGACATCATAAACCTTGTTAAAAACAAGAAATAAAAACCCGTATATATGTATTTTTCAGGGTTTACTGCCAACTATTACAACATCCGTTGTTACTGAAAAATAAAAGCTTTCAATAATTGTGCAAATGGGTTTGATTCAGTGGGAACATCACATGTAAAAGGAATAAAATACATCAAAGAAAAAGACAAAACAATAAATCAGAGCCTTGCCTTGTCTCCTCTCTTCATATTTATCTGCCATCCACGTCCCGGCATGGCAACAGACATCTTTGCCCATTTTTGGCATGTTGACAGTTGACCACTGTGAGAGTGCAACAAAATTTCTTGTTTTTCCCCAAATCAGGCGATAATCAATGCGCGCGTTGATGTCATCCATAAAAATTACTTGCTGTGGCCTAATCGGTACGAAAGTGTTGCTTCGGGTTGTGTCTCTGGTTGTCCTAAGGTGATTTTTTGTGGTTATGATATAAAGCTGTAATGTACGTATCTCTACAACTTTCCTGTTTTTGGCGACGTCTCAGGGAGGAGCCTAATGGTACAGTATTGTGTGCAATTCGCAAGAATTCTAGGAATTGTACAGGCATTTTGTCCACAGGAATGGAATGTCCACAGGCATTTCTCTGACCCACATCTATGCCCACATTCCTGGAAACCCTTGGGAAGACCCAGAAGACCTGTCTGCCACGGATGACCCTACTTTCTGTGACCCCGGGGCTCGTTCACTATACACTCGGGGGAGGAGTGCACTGTATCTGTCTTCCTCAAAATCATGAAATGATGGCAGTGCCATGCAAACAATAACTCTAACATCAACCACCGTCGCCATGGCAATGTATGTTTTCATTGCCAGTCTTGTTTCTATTTCAGAAACGGGACGCTGACAGAACTATTGGCGTCGACACAGACTACGTAGACACAGCGGATTTCGATCTCGAAGCTGAGGACAAACTTTTTCTTATCGAGGTACGTCAGAAAGGCTAAAAATCGGGCATTTCTTCTTTTTGTCTTTTCTTCGCCAAAAAATAGGAAAAGGTCAAAATGTATGGTTTTTGTATGTAATGTGGACTCAGAGGTTCACACATCAATTTGCAAAACAATTGAGCTGGTATCATGTTGATAATTTCTAAAATTTAGCAAAAACTGCTTTGGGGTCCGCGCGAACCCCAGGTGTACAGATTAATCAGTCCGGGTTCTGTTGAGGGTTAAACATACATATTCTTGACGTAGCTAAGTCTGCAATTTGTGCAATGTAGTCTGTAAAGAAAAAAACACTTGCAACAATGACCTTTAAAAATAGATTGCTATTGATCTTTGAAACAAAACTAATTTATTTCTAGATATAAAAGGGATTTGGTACGACAAACGGTGGACACTTATTGAAATTTATATCATATCTTTGCAAGAAGTCTTTGAAAATCGAATCAATCTTCGGCCAAGCAATTTTTCTTTTCGTGGCATTTCAACCTATCATGCCAATAAAGTGTTGGTACTACTATAATAACATATCCCTTTTAATATTCCGCGCTTTGGCTTCATAAATTACATAGATAAGATATAATTTCTTGGACCAATGATATTGCACGGTCACATCTGTCGTATGATATCGATTCTTAAGTTGTAGAATGCTGAATCAAGCATGGATAATGTATATAGTTTAATTTACGTCCTTAACCCTTGTCCTGCTGGCATTCCTGGCACACATTTTTCAATAATTTCATGTCTTAATTAGATTATAGACCCTCATTTTTTTTTTTTGCTCTGCAGTGGCATAGTTACTTCCGCATTCGTTGCGTTTCGCTGCGGTGTGATGCGTTGCACGAGAAATACCCCCAAATCGTACCTATACAGGGTGTTATACAGATGGTACTGTACTGTACATGTATGTATGTACAGAACAACAATTGTTGTGCTCCGCAGGGCAAGGGTTTTAACATTCATTTCTGCTGTTAACAATACGTGTGTGCAAAAAGGAATTTAGAAAATGGTATTTACGGGTAACACCCTCGATAAACTTCTAGGTTTCTTGGCATGGGTTGCCCGGCACATTCGTTGCAGTTGTACATAATTTATTACATATTGATGTATTTTTTTTAGTACAAACTGCAAATAAACAAGAAATGATAATAATAGAAAAATGAATATTCAAGACGGCTTTTTAACGAGACAGCTGAAATTAATTCTGAATAATACATGATTGACTGCCCCAAGAATGTAGCCTCTACCAGGCTTCGGGAGGCGGCTGTTCGTGTGCCGCAAAATGTTTTCTCCCAGCAGAAAAACTCCCCTGGCATGTCATCTCTCTCTTTAGCCGATTTCTACTCTTTCCAGTCACCTCCCGAAGCCTGGTAGAGTCTACAAAGAATGTCTTCATTTTCTGGACGTACGATGATTGTACAATAAATGTGACCAGATCCCTAGTCACCCACTAACTCTTCTTATTCCCCTTACTGCTATCTCTACTTTTCTTGTGCATTTCTACATTTTCCCCCTCAACAGCAAGGAAAGAGAGGCTGTCGGGCCTTCCTGAAAAACTACGTCAAAAAATTCAAGCTCAGGCCGCGCGGAGAAGACCCTCGTGCCCCAGGAAAACCTCTCCGAAGACCGGGTCCTGATCTTCCTTCTACCTCTTCAAGACATCTTCCTAATGACTCAGACTCCTCAGCAGATGTACAGACTTCTTACTCTACAAGTCATGATTACTTTGATGACTCCACGGGTGCAGTGCCGAAGAGAACGCATTTTGCATCGAGCCAAAGAGAGTCCATTCAGCAAAGTGAGGATTTCATCGAGTGATCCTCAACATCTATGTTTACCGAAGGAAAACATACTGTTTTTGCTACGTTTCCTCTTCTTCTTCTTCGGTTCCAAACACTGAACTCTGACCTGGCCAATGGCCTGACCTGGCCAATGGCCTGATTTGTTGACGTCTCTCACCATGGTGACTGGTGTTGGGTTACATAATGTTGCAGTTTTATAGTAGGAGGGATTTATACTCCTGCCTGACCATATATATGAATGTGTTTGAGTAAGAATTAACAGAGCAAACCATATGCGAAGTCAAACATTATGCATTCGCTTTGCAAATGTTACCTTTCTAATAAAATTATATATAACATAAGCTCATTTCTCTGCACCAAACAAAAGCTGCCCTTTCCTCTATACATTTCTGAAATCATCCTTTTTTAATAACTGAACATGAAAAATCTGTATTGTCTACTTCGTCACTTAAGTGCAATAAATATAAATGATATGTACGAAGAATAAGCGAGGGGCTGATCAAACATCATACCATGTACTAGTCCTTGCTCTTCATTTTTTACAACATAAGAAGTGATTCGTACCTTACAGAAGAAGATTACATGTAGGTTTTCCTCCTACCAGAAGCTACAAAGAAAGTTACAAAGAAAAATCCTGTATCACTTAAACAATTTGTGTGTAGCAATACCATATAAAGTAAAATGTATTGCCAAACAACAATAAAGTTGATAATCTCATATACATTGCAATAAGTGGAAAAGATAGCCATGGCCAAGTTACTCAAGAAGAGATACTTAGTTTTAATTATCATATCAATATACTTAGATTTGATTATCAGTTCTATCACAAGATTCTGTTGTTTTGTACTATTTTTTTTTTGGTTGTTTATTGCTTCCGGGGGAGGAGACATCCTTCCGCGGAAGGGTTTTGTGAGAGATTTAGATTGTCATGTTCGCAGCGGTTTCTGACGCGTTTGGGTGGACGGATTCTTTTGAGACTCGGTATATGTTTTGCTATTGGGTTGCAGATGATGCACGTTCTTTTCTTGTTTACTCTTTATTTTCTTTTTTTAATGATCGACAATTGTAGCAAGGCAGGCGGGGCGCTCGGGCGTTCCTGCGGGAGTTTGTGCGGAACAACAACATGCGTCCCCGCGACTCCCAGCGCCGGTCCTTCCTGAGACAGACGTACGGGAGACAGAACTCCGCCGCGGGCGGCAAACCTCCCTCCCGACCCGGGTCTAGGCGAGGCAGCTTCGACTTCGGCAACTGAGTTTCCTCGGTAACAGGCCGTTTCGCCACATTGTCAGTTCGCTACCGTCGTTTCGCTACATAACAGAAGCCGTTTCGCTACATGTACTGTATAGTAGAAGTAGTTTCGTCATGTGACAGAAGTTGTTTCGCTAACTACTTGTCAGAAGTCGTTTTGCTATATCTGAACGTTATTTCTCTATATAGACCAGTATCATTGGAAATAGTTTATTTTACACTGACTTCTATGTAGACTTCTATGAAACCGCACACCCGCACACAAGAAGAAAACAAAGCGAACTCGTGTTTACAAAGTTCAGCTTCAGCGAATATGTGTGATGATGTTTTTTTCTTTATTGTCTTGTATACAATTATTTGGTCCATATACATGTAGCTGTATCCGTTTTACAGTGCCTTGCTTAAATGTCTTAGACCGTATCTGATTTAATCGCTGTTGTTCCATTACATTTTGGTTACATACAATGAAACAAGTGTGCAATGTATAGACTTATGTAGAATTGATAATTTTGAATAGTGTGATCATTTACATGTTTTTGTGTTTTCTAATCTATACTGTAGTGCTAACCTTATATTACTAAATATACATTGTGTACATTTCGTCACATGTTTGCATGTCATTGATTTCATTGTTGTTGTCAATTTTTGTGTTTGTCAGAATTACCATAAAGCATACCAAAATGCTGCTTCAATATATGCATTAAGGTAATATTGTTTATGTATGTAAGTTTTTTTTTTGCATTTTGGTGATGAACCAAGAAAGTTGCACTGGGATGTATATGTGTGATTTATAAAATGATGATGGCATTGCAGATGGAATAAATACCATTCATTTGCTTACAAAACACAAGTCGTATTACTTACATGTTCAAGCCTTTATGGCTGCCAGTTTGGAAAATATTGGAAGTAAAATTATCATGAAAGTTCATTTGTGTCAACTTGGTAGTTACATGTTTAGAGTTAAAATGTGACAAGCCTCACTGGGTCAGTCTACTGAGGAACACCAGAGTGACTGGTTGAAAGCTCTAGGTGAGAGAACTTTTTGCGTTGGATCTAAGTTTTATCTCTAAACATGGAAGTAAAATTCATAATTTACCTGATGTTTTGCTGCTTAATGACCCCTAATAGATGACTACACTGTGTACAGAAAGTAAATTTTCAGGGTGTGTCTACAATGTATATGCTTGACTGTGTTCCTGTATACTACACATATTAGGTGCCCCAAGAATACTAACAGGAACATAGTAACATAAGGTCAGTCAAAATTCCCAATCATAAAAGGTTACCTTATTTGTGGTGGCACAACACAGATTTCGCCCTACGGGGATTTCTATAGTTAAGGACCCCAAAGTGACTCACTTCGACTCACTAAAAATTATAGTAGGGTGCACAAGCAAGGTTCAGAATTTTGACATGTTTAATTTCAGGGTATGGTGTACAAAATATGTGAAAATGGGCTCAAGTTTGCCGGGACGTTCTCTTCTCATGCCCTCTTTTATTAGCACCACTGCGGAGGTCATGGAACTGCAGCCGACGCACAGCACTAGGCGGGACAAGTATCCAAGCACAAATCTACGCAGACTGAACACGCGCCATAATTCAACTTTTACGGTCTCAAAACTGACATATTCCTCTAACATTTACCACAGGTTCCATCTCGATGCCATGCACAGAACAATCTCTGCACCCTTCTCTAGTATTGTGCAGCACTACTTTGTGCCCGGACTACTTTTGACTATGGGGTTTGCCCATAGATACTGTGTTGTGTGGCCTTGTCCCAAAGTCGGTGTCAGCTTTAGTCCACTTACCATTTTATCCACAAATGGGGTTATCGTAACATCTGTGTCCATAATATCACCAGGGTCCATAATATCACCAGGGTCCATAATATCGCCACCTTGAGAAATAGTGTGCTTAAAGATATTTTTACTGCAACATACAATAGGTATGTACATTTGATGTGTGAAGGAGTGCATACCAAAAGTATGTTGCAGTAAAAATATCTTTAAGCACACTGTTTCTCAAGGTGGTGATATTATGGACCCTGGTGATATTATGGACACAGATGTTAGCAGATCATGGCTACATGTATATCACTCACTGTCTTTAATCTTCTGCTATATGCATGCCAAATCTTACTGAAGTTTTACTCAATACTGATACATGTATCTGAAAACCTATGCCTGCTATTTGCATGCATATAGCAGAGTGAATGGTGTTTGTACATATTTGTATATAGTGTGTTTTTCTGTGTACCTGTCCTGTCTTGGTTTTTTAACTTATTGTAAAAATCAGTTACGCAATTCAGGGATGCATGCAGCATTCCCTGCTTTTGTATGATTTTGTTGATTGAATAATAAACTGTATAAACAATACTTTGGAACCAAATCTATTCAGCTCTTCCTTCTTTTGCCGTTTGAATATTTTGTGTTTACTCTCAGACTAACAAAGACCTTTTAATAGTATCAAACATGGTGAATCAAGGTATTGCTGTGTCAGCTTGTTCCTTTGCTGTTAAATATATTCTGTGCGGCGTATTGATACAGCTCCTGGTTGATGTGCTTCAACCTCTTCACTTCAAACTCTAAGTCCTGTTTACTCACATGCTCACTTTTCTCCTGAATATCCTTCTGCAAGGAAAAAAAAGATAATAAGATAGTAAACAAATGAATAACCATGCATAAAACATGTCGTTTTAGATATCATATGGTGGCAAAACATTACAAACAATAGGAATGGTGTTTATATCAAAACTGTTAATAGATAAAATATGAAATTTTCATACCTGTTCTGTGTAACTGTGCACTCTTTTAAGATCACTGTAGTCCTGATGCAACCCTTCAGACACCATACCCTGCTTACCATTAAAGAAAATTGGAAAAAATACAAAACAAAGTCATGCACATACATGTATGATGATGTTGCAACTTATTTACAGTACGTACTTCTAAATATTTCTAAATACTGGCAATAACAGTCACTGTGATAGACCAAATTTTGCAGTTAAAAGGGAAAGGAGATTTTTTGTAGTCTCCACCAGACTTCTTTTGTGGGGTGAATAAATCGTAGAAATCGGCCTAAAAAGGGTATTAATTGGCCAGAGAAGATAGCCTGCCAGAGAAGCTCCATTTCTCCGCCAAGAATGGAGCTTCTCTGGCCGGCTATCTTCTCTGGCCAATTAATACCCTTTTTAGGCCGATTTCTACGATTTATTCACCCCGCAAAAGAAGTCTGGTGGAGACTAGATTTTTTGCACTATTTATTTTATATAATAAGTTTGTTAAAACTATTCCCTAGTAGTCACATATTGGAAATGTGTACAGATTTCAACAGGTTATTGCTGAAACAATGAAAATAAAGCCACAGCAACTTTCTCTATTTGCATCTGTATAGCCCGTATAACTGCGCTTTGGCATAACACACCAGCTTCGCAGGCACATGGCACAGTGGCAGCTGGCTACATTACACCAAACGACTTTTTACCTTCGTTAAATGTAACCTTTAAATCTTACACTTAACAATGTTTAAAGCTATCTTATGATAATGCCCTGTACTTGGTGAGAGTTGGTCACCAAGTACAGTTGGTCACCAAGTTGGTCACTCTACAGTTCAAGGAAAGAATGAGTTTTTGTACACCTCAATCCTTGGTTGATAACTCTGCTACTTGAAGGCATGACTATTTCTTGCTCTTTTCTGTGCTGGTATTCGGTACTAGTAGTTGGTATGTCCACCAGTTTATTTAATAAGCCATTTTGTACATCATGCATAGTCTGGACATTTAAGTGTTTCAAGATTTGCAGTAGACCAATGCAGGAACAAAAAAGCAGTTACTGACAAGCAACTGGATTATGATTTTGGAAACGGTCAATCCAGTTGCTTGAGTAACTGCTTTTTGGTGTATCGTATTACCTGGATGTCTAACCTTCATCGACGCAATGCAGGAATTCACCACTGACCTTTTGATACTGTCCTAATCTGACGTCTACAGTGTCTCTAGTCCCTTCCTCCCTGTCTTCTCCCTGTCCCTGAATGTGAAGGTGACGTTTGAAGGGTTGTAGCAGAGCGCTGGGCTTCCCTCTGCCTGACAACATGGGGGAGGGGGGCTGCAGCAGCATGGCATTGGTCACTGGACCTGATATGGTATGAGGACAAAGTTGTTGCCATTTTTGCCAATATATCATATCTTGAAAATTATCTGTGTTTGGTAGAAGTCATTATGAAACAGTTTAAACCGTAATTGCCAACACAAGAAATTCTGTGACAAAGACTGGCGTTTGGGTACATGTGTACTTCAAGTTTTTGTGTTGGAAATTGCCAATATACATGTACAAGTCAAGGGTACATGCTGAATGCATGGTGTTACCATAGACTGACAGGAAGATCAAATTGGAGGTCAAAATGGTTTCCCTGAAGGCTGGGAGGAAGGTCAAAATTGGAGGTCAAAATGGTCTGCCAGAGGCTGGGATAGAGTGATAAATAAAGGCAATATAAAAAGAAGTAGCAAGAAATTTAAAATAATAAATTGAATATTATCAAATTATAATACTTCATGAAGGTGTGAAATCTTTCATTTCTTGTTGTGAATGATAGTCCTACTAGTAAGGCCTTAGAAAAAAATGTTGTCTTTCCTGTTTTAGTCCTTTTTTGACCATGTCGACCTCTATATATGTAGCTAGTAATCCAACTTATTCAATACATTTTAACAACTTTGAAAGTAAAAGGTGCATGAGGACACCTCACTCAATATCTTCAATGTTTGAAAACTAATTGCACAACATTTTTTCACTCAGGTGTCAGATCCTGGACTGGTCAATCAGCTAAAAAAATTACGTCTCTCGCTAGGGTTTACCCACAACTGGCTAGAGTCAGCAGTTTTTTGTAGGGTCTATCAGGAAACACGAAACACAACATTTTTTTTCCTAGACCTGAACACCCCCCTCCCCCTTTATTTTACCTTTGTGAGAGAAGGTCCTGACGCACTGCATGCTGGGAATGTCCCACAGTCTGGCGGAGTGGTCATGTGACCCAGACAACAGCTGACTGCCGTCCATGCTGACCGACAAGCATGTCACCTGTTTACTAACAAACAAAAAATACAATAAAATAAACAAACAAGGATGTGAAGGTAAACATTTTCAAATTGAACCACTGCAAACATTTTAAGAATTTACACTAAACCTTAAAAAGCATTTTAGGATGACTAATGTGATTATCACATCAATTTCTTTTTTAATTAAATCCTTTGCAAATGACAAAAGAAAAAACTTTTGGGGACGTAAATTTGCGATGGAATTTGAAAGTAAAGCTGTACTCATTACACCACTCTGTTGCAATGTATAAAATGATGAAAGTTGTGAATTGAGTGTACTCAAACTAATAGGTGAAATGGATATTTAATATCTTTTATTTGTTCTTACCCATGTCCTTTGAAAATTTGACGTTGGTCATCATCTGTGTCTTCAATGTGCTTTTCTCTCTGGACAGGCTAGCATGAAAAAATGACAAAATAATTACTGAATGTACCTTGAGTAATTAAGACGTGGACTTTTTGCAAAACAACTTTATGTGTGCATGCAAGCATTACTAGCCTTGGAGCAAGTATTTTTGCCCATCTATATCTAACTGTAACCATCCTTGGATATGACCTTGGTGACAGTCCAACAGAAAAAGCATCAAAAACACTTTCATTTAAGGCTGCTGAATCAAAAGCATTTGATTTGATTCTGCTCAATCTGGACATTTTATCCTTAGGCTAGTGGAAAAAGAGCCGTAGATCATAATAATAGTCTAAGACCACTTTCCAAATACCGGCGCCATTTTGAAATCCGCTCTCGAGATCTGAACTCGGGCTGTAAGAAACTGGTTAGTGCCGTACATTAACAATGGCATCTCCACTACAGTCATCTTCCGAGGTTAGTTATGCTCTCTGTTGGCGACATCCGCCGATATTTATGCATGTCATGAGTAGACAATATTATTGTGGACACATGAAATCGATATAGGGCAGTAATTTTGTAAATTTCCGTTCACTTTAAAGCTGAAATTTTGTGTTTGAAGAGAGCATCACTTCTTGAAAAGAGTAAAAGACCAAACCTTACAGTTTGGTCTTATACAGCTTGCATACAGTACAGAAATTATGTGCCACACCTAGCTAGAGAGGCACTTTACCAGTCATGCAATACAAAAGAAACAAACAAACAAACAAACAAACAAGCTGTACCTGAGCGTGCAGGTTGACTTGGTGGATGTTTCCGTTGATGCCCCCTGCAAAGAGGCGTGTCTCAGCTGTATCCATGGTAACAGAGGTTATACTGACATCAAACGAAACTGACATAAGGACCTGGCCTGAAGAGACTTCAAATAACTGTGGAGAAAAAAAAATTTATATGTAGTTTTTTTTTACATAATTACACATACAGGAAACAAGCACACATTTTTATATCAAAATATAATATTTACTATTTTGTTTGGAAACTGTTTAGGTTTGGACCTGGCCTGAAGAGACTTAAAATAACTGTGGAGAAAAATATTATGTGTAGCTTTTTTTAGAGCATTATACAATGTACATATACAGGAAAGAAGCACACATTTTTCTGTCTATCACAATATGTACAAAATAACATAAACAAACAAAACAATAAATTAAATGTATCCAAATATTTGAAGTGTTACCTTGACTGCCTCTCCTCAAAGTTTGAATCCTAAATTGAGTGTGGTCTGCACGCAACGTCTGGCTGTAAGCGGTTGCGTGCATTGTTCGTTGCGCAAGTGGTAAGTGAATTGTACATGCTTACATCATACGATCTCTGTGGGATTGCAACTTTACCGTAAGGAGGCTGTACTCACACATGCGTCTTACGTACGTACGCGCGTCGCCTGTACTTGCACGAAGGGGTGGTGAATATGCAGACCGCATGCAAAAAAAGTTTTACATGCACTTAAAGTTCTTCGCCGTGTCTGCGTGCTCCCAAATCCGTGGGATTCCGTACGGAGGCGGTACTCACCACGCACGGATGCCCTACGTTTGCCCACGTTTTTGCACATACACAGCATGCAGATGCATGTATGGCGGGTTGTGACCGAGGCTTAACAGTGTCAGATTTCAAAACAGAATGTAGTGTCTCTTACCTTGCAGGTCTGGTCTAGAGATGCAGACGCTGCCCTAGCCTGCAGTCCACCACAGCCACAGTACAGGTCTGTGACAGGCAGGGAGTGGTGAGACAGGGTGTGCCTGGGTTCCGGACTGTGGCCTACTGCAGTACTGGCTCCTGAGAGCACACTGATAGCAGAAAAAACAAATCAGTTCACTAAAACAAGTACATAAATGAATCACTTCTTCTGAATTAACATTTTCATGAAAATAAAGGTTGGACTGATTATTAGGATATAATTACAAGAAGTTCTAAGAATAGGAATGGTTCTCTTAAAGATGTACATGTATTAGATGCTAAGGCCTAAGGTATGTTTATTCGGGACATGAGAGTATATCAAAATGTAGAATGTATAATAGTAACATAAAAATCAGAAATATTTGATGGACATGCAGGTACTCTCTCAAGAGGCTCAGTCATTGGTCAATCCACTAATTGCCACCTTCTCATTGGCTGAACTACTAATGTAGTTGCGATGGACAGTGAGGATCAGTTAGCAGCACCTGACAGCAAGAAATTGTGTGACACAGGCTGGTCTCACTCTCGCCTTTGGAACTACATTTAGCAGTTTAGCCAATGAGAAGATGGCAATTAGTGGATTGACCAATGACAGACTGGGTCTCACCTGTGAAGAGGCCAGACGAGGACAAGGTTGTCATCTCCGGCTGACAGGAAGTGACTTCCATCGTCTGTGAAACTGAGACAGGTCACACCCTGGTAGTGTCTGGTCAGGACAGCTAACAGGTTACCTGTACACACCTGTGTAAAAATACATGTACAAGACAGTATTGACAGGACAGCTAACAGGACAGCTAACAGGTTACCTGTACACACCTGTGCAAAAATACATGTACAAGACAGTATTGACAGGACAGCTAACAGGACAGCTAACAGGTCACCTGTACACACCTGTGTAAAAAATACATGTACAAGAAAGTATAGATAGTACTCAAACTACTTTTTTTCTGCATACCAGTACTTTTTTCTGCATACCAAGTACTACTTTGATAATCACCTGTACCTGACAAATTTTACCTGCACTACTCAAAAGTATGGGTCATACCAAAATCTATTCAAAAATTTTAAATAATAGGTGGTCACAGTCAATTAATGCAGAAAAAAAATCAGCATACACCTTCTTGTACATGTAAGAACATTGTACATATATTATATATTACCTGCCAAATGTTGATCTTCTCGGCGATACCAGCAACTACAAAGTTCCCATCAGGTGACACCGCCATGGCCGAAACCCGACCACCACACACCATTCGCTGTTGAACATGGTCCTGGGAAGAAAAATTATCAAAATTTTTGTGACGTGCCATTTTTTTCAAATTTTCTCATGAAGACCTACCCACCTACCATGACAATGCATATTAAGTGTCTTAAATTATGCTGTTCACAGACAAACAAACAGACAGGCAGGCAGACTGAAAACATAACTTTCTTGGCGAAGGTAATTTGGTCAAAAGTCATATAATCTGGGTGCCAGGTCTGGGAGTCTAACCCGTGGGGAGTTTGGCTGTCCCTACAACGTTGTAGGGCCGGCTAAACTCCCCCCAGGCTCAACTCCCCCGTAGTGGTAATTTAGATAGGCGGGTGAAGGAACTATGGCTGCCGTAGGAAAGTGGCTACCAACCCTGGTATCCAGTCTGATCGTGGTCGGGGCCGAAAGAGCTCTGTCCCGCCCGCCTCACATAGGTTTCCCGGTGTGTATTTCACGAGAGATTGATTAGCCCTATACGAACATAGTGTTGGGGGGAAACTAAATCCCCAAGCATACTGTCTCTCATTAGCGTAACTCTCCTACCGGGACGGTCTGTTGCACTGGGCGGGGGAAGCTATTAGAGCCCCCGAAGACACACCCTTGTCTGGATTCAGAACTTCCTGTTGGGCAGGTCGCAAACAGTTGTGCTTGATGGAGAGCGCTCTGACCCCATGTCTGTGACCTCGGGAGTCCCCCAAGGCACAGTGTTGGGGCCCATCCTCTTCTTAGCCTACATAAATGATTTGCCAGAACATGCTGTAAGTGCCAAGGTGAGACTTTTTGCAGATGATTGCATATTACAGATGCCAATACACGATAAATCTGACTGTGCTAAATTGCAGGAAGACATAGATAACATCAGCCTATGGGAGCGCAGGTGGCTTATGGAGTTTAACCCTTCAAAGTGCGAAGTAATGACCATTCCATCATCTAAAACTCCAATTACTCATTCATATGTCCTCCACAACCAGCTCCTAAACAAGGTAAGTACCACTAGATACCTTGGGGTCACCATATCCTCCAACCTGACCTGGGGCAGCCATGTTGATGCCGTATCATCTAAGGCCAACAAAACACTTGGCATGCTGAGACGCTGCCTGAGGATCGCCAGCACTGCGGCTAAGGAAAGGGCCTACATGGCCCTGGTAAGACCACAGGTGGAATATGCTTGCAGTGTTTGGGATCCACACACCCAGGATCAGGTGGGTCGGATAGAGATGGTGCAGAGACGAGCTGCCCGATATGTTACAAATAACTTTCTCCGTACAAGTTCTGTCACCGACATGTTACACAAGCTTGGCTGGCAAACTCTAGAAAGCCGACGGAGGAATGCCAGACTTGCCACATTATATAAGATTACCAACAATGTCATTTCTGTGCCGCACGCATCTAGAGTTGTCCCGGCGGCTCGATGCTCCCGCCGCACCAACCATGCTCTTAAGCTGCAGACCATCGCGAGTAAGAACAACTATTATAGGCTCTCGTTCTTCCCTCGTACCATCAAAGAGTGGAATGAACTTGAGCCTGGTGTGGCGGAGGCGGGGTCCCTCACCCAGTTCAAAACTGGACTGGCGAGGACCCTGCTGCATTGAGTCGCCCCTACACGTCTTGTATATATGTATATATATGTCCTACTAACACACTAAATGCACAGTCTTGTCCTTTACACCAACAGACTCAGTTATTTACGTTCCGTAGTGTCCCCTCCTTTAGTTACCCTTGTTTTTATTTGTACCGGTCACTTGTTTTGTAATTAACACATGTACATGTGCAGCTGCTAGTAATCCAATATATATTGGGCTCAGCAGTACTTAAGATGATGATGATGATGAACCTGCCTGAACACCCCAATACCCCCAATCACGTAAGACTAGATACCAGGCTACTAGTTACTGTAGTAGTAGTGAGCCTTACCCGTCTCTGCAGAGCCCATACATGTATGAGCGGTTTGTTGTTAGCGGCGCTCAGCAGGTACTGGTTCCCGAGCAGACACAGGCCTCTCGGGCCGCTGCCGTCTCCCTTGTACGTGGCGAGAGTCGTGCCGGACTGAAGATCCCACAGACAAGAGCTCCACAACTGTCCAGAAGTATCACTGGTCAGCGCCGCTTCCAACACGTGGGCAGCCATTTTGGAGAGGTCACTGGACGATTACATTTTCTAAAAGGGATGAGAATTCTTAATTCTCAATTATTAAGATCCTTCGCGTAGACAGTTCATAAGACGAAATCTAAACAGCAAATAATTAAATTTAAGTACCTACCGACTGTATGTTATGCAAAAGAATAGATTTAATATGGATAAATTAATGTTTATAAAAGTTATAAACTCTCTATATAGAAATGAAATGTTCCAATGACGTCAGAGCCAGCTGTTTGACTTTTTACGATTCCGAATCATTCAGAAGTTGTTGCACTTTGTCCCCTATTGCAAATTTACGTGAACTTTGTCCATTTTGTACTTTAAGAATCTTCACAGTAGGAGCAAACGCTGCTTGAGAAATTCTACCCAGTCTTTCTGTGTCCTATTTTGGGTAGTTCAAGTGAAATTGAGCTGAGTTTTATATCATATTATTTTCCTATCTAATTTGATGAACACGCCCACTTGAGTGTAAAAAGTTGGCTCGGCGAAAAAAAAGAGAGATTATTTCTTAAGTTCCAACATGGCGACAGAAGGGACGGAGAGAACCGGTCTTGTAGCAGAGGGAGAGAACTTTACTCTAGACGGAAAGCCCGTACAGCTACTGAGCGGAGCTATCCACTATTTCAGGTAAAACGTTATTTTCTAATTATCTTTTTAGAATTTGACATAGCCTCTACCAGGGCTCCAGGCTTCTTGAGAAATAGTAGAAATTTGCCAATGACTGA